GGCTGACAGAAATAACCATGGCGAGACAAGAAGAGACATCAAAAAAGCTAAGCCAAACAGGTATATGAAAGGGATGAAGTTGTGTTCTGGATTGCATGTGTGATGAGCTGTCGTGTATATACACGTATACATACAGATATGGCACAGATTCCTCATTAAAATTAACAAACCATCGTACAGAAAACAACATTGACATGTTTATCAGCTGAAACAAACATGAGGACAAGAGAGAACCTAACAGGCTTAATTTATAAAGAAAACATTTACCTGACTGAAGTTTCCCTGGACGAGGATTTGCACGATGTATACTGCCAGAAGCCGAAATCGAGCTAGATTTGGCCTTCTGAGTGTATGTTCCTATGTTATTTATCCAATCGCAAATGTGAAAAGGAAGAATAGGGAGTAAGAAATAAGTGATATGGGAAAGGTTGAAGAGGTTATTGGCGTCATGAGGGCGAATACAGTTGGCTCTTCATCGTATGCATGAAAAGATCAGTTAAAGCAATGAATGGAGAGAATGTGGCGAATAACCGAAAGAAAACCGCCTGAAGCTTGAGCTGTGAAGGATGCGGTAGGCTATAATAGAGAATAATGGGTATGCCATGGAGCTCTGGGGTTCTCATACGAGACGAAATAGTTTGAAATGGCAAGGCTGTCAGCCAGTTTAAGAAATGCTCTAAGTGGCCATTCAAAGGATAGGTAGGGGCAATGAGAGTTAAAATGGGGGCGATTGAGGCCAGATGATGCTCATGTAGGTAGATAAAGTAATAAATCAAATATATAAATATATGTACATGAACTGGTCTAATAAGAATCGAGAAGAAAGTCAAATGTGTATGGCCGAACTGCCAAGTAGAATGGAAACGATGAGAGTAATGATAAAAATTATGGTCATAATTGGACTATCATTGGTGTTTCACGCGACTTCAGATAGCAAGCACCAGGAAATTGGGATTCTCATTCAAACTGGAATTCCATAAAAATTGAAGGCTTTTACTCCGAGACTAAAAATATTCCACTCATACATCATAAAAATGCCGAAAAATCATTAAAGTACATGGCTCAAGAAGGATAAACAGATGATAGGCAACTCAAAGAAGGCAAGCCCAGGCACACATACAGAAGCTTAAGAAGACTAAATCGGGGGTATGCAGAATGAAGCGAATATATTTGGAACTTTATCTAGATGGTACATAAGAGGGAATATTGCCTGCCATAATGCTACCAGAGCGAAGATTCCCTAGGGAGCTTGCGAGCCCCCTGTTAGACCTGAAAGACAATACGGGATAAAGATTAGATGGCTAAGAATCAAGGTGATCCTGGTCATTATGTAATGGGACGGAGAAAGAAAATGCAATTGGCTTCGAAAAATGGAGCGGTCCTTAAGTGCAGAGGTGCAATCGAAACGGAAAAGTTAAAATATTTGATAGAATAATTATTAATACATAGCTGGCGGTCTTTTTCCAAACCAATCATAATATTGTGGAAAACGTTAGAGAACAATGGGTGTTAAGCTATAGGTTGTGCGTCTCCCAGCCAGAGATAGAGCTGGTGATATTTCACTATATTTCTCGATATCAACAGCATTTTGTGATTAGACTCATAAGAGACCCAAAAAGAATCAAAGCTTAGTATGATCAATAATCAGTCATATACATATATATATATATATATATGTATATATATGTGTGTGTGTCTTGTGATTAATACAATGGCAGTACCGAAAAATGGAAACAGTACACTTTACAAAAATAAGGTTAAGCGATAGATAGACATGTCTCAGAACTGAATGCGAAACTTAAGCTATTGTAAATAATAAAATAATGGAACATCAGGACATCGAGGATATTGCCACATGAGGCAAACAAGGGAAGATACATTATCAGACACAAATGGAGATAGGATGGAGTATCAAACATACATGCGAGCAAACAATAGTTAATCACATAATTACACAGTCAGATGCACATGCGAAGAAGCAAACAGAGAAAAGGCAAATAAACTTATAAAATATGAGAAATAGAAAGGAAACGTTTAAGAATTTAGAATTTGAGCAAAGTTAAAGATAAAAACAAACACGCATAAAAGAAGATTTTCAAACAAAAGAAAAAAACAAAAACACAGACGGACAGATAAAGGCGCTTAAGGATAGAGGGGTAAGTAGGTAAGTGAATAGAAAGGTAAGTAACGAGAATGATAGATAGCTGGATAAGTATGTTGTAGATAGATATGTACAGCATAGAGTTATATACTTAATCATGTTAGTATATTAGTAAGTTGAGAAGCATGTGAAAAGGTAAATATGTAAAAGACAGGATGGTTTATTCATTTGTACATAAACATTCATACAGTACATTCATTGTTTTAACCAGCCAATGAATTAAGGGATATGCGTAACAATGATGATCCACCGAGAAAACGAAGATACAAGCGGATATACACGCAGTGTGGTATGAAGTAGGTTTGTGAACACGTATATAAATATATATATTGTAGGAAAGTAAAAAAATAAGAGATAGTTAGTAAAAATAAGCAAGACTGAGATGGAATTTAAGCGGAAACAAAGGATAATTGACAGACATTAAGATTAATATAAAACAGTGAGGAGCAATAGAGCAAGGCAAAGAAAGAAGAATGGGGCAGGTGTACCGAGGATATGGTAGATAATCGAAATGAAAGAGAATGTACGAGAAAAGGATGAGAAACCAAAAAGTATGAAAGGATAAAAAAAACGAGAAAAAAGACAGCAAGTACAAGGAGAAAATAGGTCAGGTTAAAAAAATATAAGCATAGTGAAGGAGTGGAAAATAATAAAAATAATGAGAATGTAAAAAGGAGGGAGTATAAGTGAATGAAAAGATTTCAAACAAGGAACGATAGGTTATAAAGAGTTCAGTGATTAACCGATAGTTCAAATGGTTGAAACGTTTAAATAAATATATGAGAAATGTATGCAGATTGAATTTAGCAAGTGTGTGAATGTAGTAGATTGTGTATCAACGACAAAATAGTTTGGGAGCTAATCAATTATACATAATCAAGCGTACAGCACATCAAGCTGGTAGAATTCGTTGAGGAAGATAAGAAGGACAGAGAGAAGCAAGCGAGTGTACAGCAAAGGGGCTCACACAAACATCAAGCGGGTTCACAAACCGAAATAGAACGGAAATCAAAATACAGGCAGCCAACACAGAAGACCATCCGAGAGGGGAGAGAGAGGAGAGAAATGTAAAGAAAAAACGGCATTAGAAAAGAGTAAAACTTTATAATGAGTAATCTCCTATGAATTAAGGTGATAATGAGAAGAGTAAAACTAGAGCTCACCACCTACCTTTAGGTCGTTTAAGCTGCACTTTCAGGCGTTTCATGCCAATCTGAAAACCGTTCATTGCCTGGATGGCACTCTGAGCGCTGGATTGATTGTCAAAGCTGACAAAGCCTAGAAGCAAAAAAATAATCAAAAAATTAGATTATACTACTCACAAGTAGAGTCACTATTAATTACAAAAGCATACCAAAACATTTGCTCTGATTCGTTGCACGGTCAACATAAACTTTAGCGCTTATAACAGTCCCGAATGGCATGAACATTTGTGCGAGCTCCTGATCGCCAAATTCTTGGGGAAGATGATAAATAAAAAGGTTGCATCCTTCAGGACCTGAAAGTAGAAATTTAATCATAATAGACGCCTCCGAACAGGACCATTAAATGGGCACAAGTGGGACAGCTCACCGGTTAGAATAAATTCTTTGGTTCCTTCTTTTTGTTGAACCGGCATTGACATGGCCTGATGCGTCAAGTTTGGAAAGGGAACCGGAGGTGCAACTGTAGTAGGAAAGGCAGTCGTAGCAGGAAAGGTAGCTAAGGATAAAGCAAAGAAAAAAAACGAAGCCGTGAATTATTTTGCAGTCTACTCATGTGGACATCTGATGGTTCCAGAAAACATGTCAAAGTATGCTGAAGCATTCCACGGTGCTTCCTGCAAACCACAAGCCGCTCGCACTTGCACCGATTACAAACATAGCCTAAAATTCGCTACAAAATTACTGAGGACCAACAGAGACAAGTTGCGGGTGAGTAGGAGTGTCGCAAGTGGTGACTAAGCCTTCATTACGAAGAGCTCTTTTCCATTATTCAAACTCGTGTTGAATTGGATATTTGAGTATATATAAATGAAAATAGAACAAAACGAACAATAAACCGACATTAACTTTCACAGATGAAATTTAAAGATAACATGCCAATGATACTATCGTCCATCAAAAAACTTGTATTACGTCATATAAAATAAAAAGTAAGCGTTAGAATGGCTAATCATAAGATCATAAAAGATTATTTAGGATTATCAATATGGAAAAGGACGGATTTCATACAATTACCCTATCATCTCATTATTATTAAGGCTTCGTATGATCCCTAGTCTATATGGATGGTGATGGAGCCGTGAAATAAACACTCGTTTAAACCGACATGGGATGAAGGCAATCGAAGGACCGAAGTCCATCGTGTATGTCTCACTTATCGTGTTGAAAAACAGATTATCTACATAAGCGTACAGATATGTACATAAAGGTCGATCATGTCCATGAATTCACGTCGGGCAAATGAAGACTTACTCAAGCCGTAGGGCTGCAGTCCGGCGTAGAATTGCTGCATTGGGTCCCCAGCAAACGGATGAACTGAAAAAACAAAAAATATTTGGATAGTGAAATGTTGACATTTTCGAAATTTCACAGAAATTCATACTGATCATAAGCATTATAACCATTCTGAACGATATACTAATTCTTTAATTTGTGTACAATAGTCACACGGATAACCTAAACTCCAGCCCTAGCAACATAGGCGTCGAGCCTATAGGAACTACGAGGTTTGATGATCTGATTCAGTCTACATTTTTTTAAGAAGTAGGAATGGGAGCACACACATTCAATAGATGCATGCCATTAGTATCAAGTTTTATTCACCTAAGCTCCAGTATTGCAAACCATATGCAGAAGGATCCTATCATTTTGATGTGTTGGAAAAAGCTGTGTGGATATAAAGTGCTTGCGTCATTGTACCTATTTTCTAATAGTTCAAATTACAAAATAAAAAACGTCCCTCCTATAATGATATATATATATATATATGCCAGATTTGGTGTCACTGGAATTATTAATAGTAATTGCTCCTCAAAGTTGCAAAATAATTAAGAGATTTGATTTAATAAAACTTGTATACAAGTTAAGCTTTGTATTTTCTTGAAGTAGGCGGACGGTTATGATAATGACCCATTCAAGTTACCATCCAAAGAATGATCATTTTAGCATGAGGTATTGACGAGGCATTAATTTCGGCAAGGATATTCAGTTGTTAAGTTTGATCAAAAGAGTGAAAGTGATGTTGCAATGACAAGAATCAAAGACCATGATTTTATCTTAAATAAAAAATAAACAGATATCTCTATTATTTGGGTGATTGGTTTGATCTGCAACAGTGAGACAAAGAAAGGAGCAAGAATGAAGCGCAAAATAATAAAGTGAATTTGAGTACTCTGGTGCTCCTTATCATCTGTATATTTCAGTTTTCTGAGTCTAGTGTTAAAAAAACCTTGTGGTCGGGCTTTACTACTTTTCAAAGTTTACAAATGCTGAACATTACAAATAGATTCGATGAAAAGCATAGTGATATTTTCTTTAATTTTAACCCGCAGTCGAGAAACTGTCATGTTCAGCAAAGTTCTAATCGGTTTCCAGCAGAAAAAATAAATAACAATTTGGGTTGGTTTGGGGCTGATATATCTCTAGGAAGATGTGGTCTAGTTAATGTGACTTGACATCATTATGCTTCTTGCTTTCTCATTTTAATTCAAATAATTAAATTCTAACATATATATATATTGAGCTTTACAGTACATGTCGACACATTCGGATTGTTAATTTATATTACATGTTTTAATTTTGTATGTAATTTATTCTTTATTATTTATTTATATTTCCAAAAGGGTCAGTGACAATCAATTTTTTTTAATTTGGTATATATGTTCCTCAGAATGTGGGTTGTGGTGATTCCCATACCCCTTAATCCTTTCAGTCTTGAGAGGAGAATGCTTAATTTCTTTAATTAATTCCATTTTTCAGCGGCCGAACATCATCAGTCCCGCAAACCTACCTAGTATTGCTAGGCTCACTTTCATTTTGACTGTGTGTGCTTGTGACGAAGATATTCAAAGTGGATCCCACAAGAAGACGAGATAGGTTGGCTTTACTGGAGCATTCTTGTGGGGGCTATCCCCAAAGCAGTCTTAGTCGATTCCGGTGCTAACGTGACAAACTTCCGTCGTACGATATCATGCTTACGCTAGAAACGGAAGTGAGCTCAATATTTGTAACAAGACAAAATTCGTCTAAACACCAACTTTTTAAACAATGAAAATAGTAATTGAAGGATGCATTAAAAGCCAGGATCATACGACAAGTCAGGTTGCCTACCAGACGAGCTTAAGCGCGACCATCATTCATAGAACGGGGTAACGAGCAATCGGATCGAAACTGATGCTGATGCAGAACAGACGTGAACGCCACGATGAGGAGGGGAATAGCCGAGTGGATGGTGACTAGGTCTCTATTCTCTTCCTTCGGCTACATGACACTGCATCTCAATAGGCTGAATAAATGCACGAGGGGCAGTATTCCTGCGCTTTCTGTGCACACTTGCATTTGCAGGAGACTTAGAGAATGTTTACAAGCTGCAAGTGTATCCAATTTCGTGAACATGATAATGCTTTTATCGGCTTTTTTCAGCTGCATTAATGACAGGCTAGCAGCAGTTGCCCTCGACCAGCTCTTCCGCCGCTATCGTCAGTTCCTGCTGCCTGGATTGCTGGGCGATCTGGGCACTGCAGCCAAGAGGGCAATGCTGGTAGCCGTGCATGCGATGAATGCGAGGGGAGTTGGCCTGGAGGATACCTAATTGATGAGGTGCATTGTTTTGGTCGTCTCACGGAAGTGGCGAGAAATGAAAATAAAATGGGGTGCATCGATGGTGACAGACAAGACTGTACAGAAATGCCGCCATCCAGTGGACAGCAAATGGGAATCGCCTCCAAAAGCAGCCTGAGCCCAGCCGCCACAGTCCACTTCCGATCCCGTCGAGAGCGAGAACAAACAGCTCAGCTCACTTGGTGGCACAGAGGCGGGCGTATTTGCATCAGCGCACGAGCACTGATCCAGTTCAAGCTAGGTCGGCATTCTCCTCTCGCTCCAGGTCGAGGCGCCATACAGACAGATACTTGAGAGGGTGGTGTGAATTGTGCGCATCGCACACAATTACACTAAACGATGCCTTGCGAAGGAAAGTGGGGTTTCATAATTTTTGAGCTTACTTCCATTTCGAGTGAAACTGTTGGGTGAAACGATTCAAAGGTCGGTTCCACCGGAAGACGACGGCGAATTCCTCTTGACAGCTGTCGATTAGCTTTACTGGAAGATTCATGCTGACGCGGTTTCCGAGGCAATCGCCTTCGATTCCGATGAAAAGGTGCTAAGCTTTCGTCCGTCATAGGACATTGTCACAACAAAATTCAAGCTAACGAGTCAACAAGACTCACCGGCAAATCCCTAAAAAGTGGTATATACACTCTACATCTGGCCTATTTGATCAAGTATAAAGTGATTTGGTTAGTTAAAAACATATGTCAACGTCTATGCATGTCAGTGTGTCTGTCTCTGTATTTGTATGTGCATGTTTGTGTTCGCTTATGTACGACCTTCGAAACTCTTCACCCAACAAAAATTATGAAACAAGAGATTCCTCGAAACCCAACTTTTCTTCGATAGCTTTACTCATATCATTGTGGGAAAATTCAACTACCACTCCTTCATCACCTTAAACGAAATTGGGTGAACACAATTCCTATAGTGAGCCTCAGAGCGAGGTAACATCGTCACAACAAAATTGAAGCTAACGAGTCAAGAAAAAATTGGCATATAACCTTAACTAACCAAATGACTTTATACTTGATCAAAGAGGCCAGATGTAGAATGTATATACCACTTATTAGGGATTTGCCGGTGAGTTTT